TATATATATATTTGTATGAAAATAAAGAAAATTATATTCTTATAATAGATTTAAAAAATTAAATAAATATACAACTAATAACTAATAAACTACTTAGATATTTAAAATATAACTTGTTTTTGTTAAATAAACTTATCAAAATGATAATTTTCCAATCACACACACCCATATATATAACGCAAATATTTTTTTACAACTCAACAATTTAATTTTGATTTTTTTTTTTAATTTTGATTATATTTTAGTTATATTTGTAATTATATAGCTGTTTTCTCTCATATATTATTTTTCAACTACTTAACTTTATAATATTCAATATTTAAAATATAAATTAATGTGTATGAATGTAATATTTATAGATTTTATGAATTATGACCAATAGTTTACTATATATAACTACAAAAATCATTTTATTTTTATTTTTCAATATCATAATACTTTCAAGGACTCTTTAATCTTTATTTATGCTGAGTAATAAAATATTATAATATTTCTATATCAATTTTAATATCATATTTAATTCATATATATATTTCTTTTGAAACAAAAAAATAGCTATTTTATGGTAAATATTAATAAAAATAAAAATTATATTAATTTATAAGATAATATGTAGTATTATTTGATACTTTTCAATTTGTTTTTACAAAAATATAAATTTTATCTATAAGGATAGATAGAATTATTTGTTATTTTATATATGCAATATGAATGTAAAATAAAAAATTGTTAAACGACATTTAATGTAAGAAGACACATTTACAATAATTAGTATATATATTGAATAAGGAAAAAAAATGTAAGAGATGAAAATAAAAATAAAAATAAATAAATAAGTTTATGGCAATATTTCACTCCTCATTCATAATTTCCTAACATGTGTATTTGGCATCGAAGCATGATCTTTTTACCAAAAAAGCATGGTCTTTTTACCAAACTAGTTATCATCTTGTGCACATGCACAGATGTACATATAATATTATAAGTAATATGTGTGAATTTAATATTAAAATTATAGATGATAAACATAT